CTATCCTTACATGAAAACTATTACTCTTATTTTTTGCAATTTACTGACCTCAAACTACGGTTTCTCAAATGCTCCTGTCTTAGAGTTCAGCTTCTTTTCTAAAGAACCTTCAATTGAGAGTGTAGTGTTGAACAAAACTAGAACCTGAAATAATTCTGAAGACTGAAAACAAACTTAGATTCAAAATAGTCTGTTTCTACACAGCCAGAAATGAAAGAACATCATTTTTCTCAGTTGGGGGTTATTTTTCAAATATGATGTTTAGTCTCTTGTTCATCTTGCTCTGCAGATAATCATAGAATCACAGAATGGTTTGTGTGGGAAGGGACCTTAAAGACCATCCAGTTCCAACCCCCTGCCATGGGCAGGGACACCTTCCACTAGACCAGGTTGCTCCAAGCCTCATCCATAATAAACTATAAGTATGGCTTACATTTCTTACTCCTTAGTGACTTCAATTTTGTTATAGTAAGTAAATGTTACATGTTTTCTTCAGCTTTCCAAATTACAAACAATGCTGTCAAACCTTGACAACATGAGTCGCACCAGGAGTTTTCCTGACATTTCCAGCCTGCAGAACCGAGAGAGAAAAGCTGGGTCTTGGTTGTTGGTACCTTCCCCAAAGCGCTCGTATTTGCTGCACTGGCATGAATCAAGAGTCTTCCTATAGCCAGTTCTGAGCATAAGTAGCTAAAATTCATTTGTATATGGGGAGGGAACGCTTCAGTTCTGACAACTATATGCTGTCAAATGTGTCGGCATTGTGGCAAAACGACACATGGCTTTGTATACCCAGTATAGTGTGAAGGAGAGGAGGAGCAGGAAATAAATGCATGTGAAAGACATTTATGGATCCACGGAAGCAGAAGTCCATATGTGTATAAATATGCATATAGGTGTTTACGCAGTGCTTGGGGAATTAATGAATTCCCTTAGCAAACCCCTATGTAGTTTGTTGTATAAAAAGCTGCTTGCCCACTGAGAGGTTAAAGGGAGGCCACTGGAAAGCTACAGTTAATCAAATCCTAGCACAGTTAAGTTGGGAGGGACCTCCAAGATCATCTAGTCCAAAACCTTCCCCAAAGCTGGACTGACTTCAGTATGAAATGCCTTTATGAAACCTAGTAATAGTATACAAAGCTGGCTTCAAAGCTTATCTCTGGCAGAATATTTCATTTTGTATGGCAAAACCTACCAGTAGATTAGACTGAGCCCTTTAAAAAAACACAGAAGAGAAGCTGTGTTGGACTAGATTCAATTTTGGTCATTTTGACTGACAGAGCTTCTATCCTTTTCTTCTCTATCCCTCTGTAAAGAAGTACTGCAGAAGAGTAGGACTGCTGCCAAACAGCTTTAGTTTCAAGATCCACAGTCCAGTTAAGAGCCATGGAATGGGGACTGGTATTAGGAAAAAGACCAATTTTCAAGATGAAGGTTTTGAAGATTCACTCAGCTGTATGTGCAGTGTCGCAGCGCTCGTATAACCAGTAGTATCTCCCAAATGACCAGGGAAAGTGCCTGTCTTTGAGAGGTGTAACCAAGAATGTCAGAGAAAGTGTTTTGATTTAATGCTCACTGCCATCCACAGGGGATTAAAAGACAGCAAGAGGGGAAAAGGGATCCTTCTTTTTTTTTTTTTTTTTTTCCTGTCTTACTCCTTTTTTGGTCCATTAAGGATTTGGCATAGAAGAAAGAAAATAAGGTTTTAAAAAGGATCCACAGCTGACAAAAGCTATTACTCCCAAATAGTTTAGTTTCACAACATATTGACAAGCACAGGAAACACACAAAACTATCTCAGTTCATAGTGCTATGTACGATAACGGGGTTGGCAACGAGGAAGTATTATTTGCTCCAACATTTCCCATGCTTCGTAACCACTGGCTCTTTTTACCTATACTTTTGGCAAAGTAAATATAATTTGAATTCTCTCTGCAGAATTAACAAGTGCATTTAAGCTAAAACAAGTCTTGCAAAAGGGTATAATTGATCCATATCTGAGAAGATATCACAGAGAACCACAACGAAAGAAAATTCAGAGGTAGCGTGGCATGCTTACAAACTGCATTGCATCCCCCTCTAGTGACCAGTCTGCATATAAACCCTGGTAGGGCTGGCTGGAGACTTTCCGTCTCATTTTCTATCAGGGAAGTGACGGTTTGGTTTTGTTTTCAGTGAGGCATGAAGTTCTCCCTGAAAATCATCAAACTTTTCCGTTATACATGGATGCCCCTTCTGCAGCCTGCTCCACCGGTGAGCAGGGTTCGCTGCAGACCCCGCCAGACTCCAGACTTCTGCGCCCCAACTAGTGCAACACACCTTACTGCGCTTCAGAGGTGCCCAGTTCCGACCCCCTGTGTGAACCACCCGGGAAGCTTTCTTAATGAAATTACAAAATGATAACTAAGGGCTCAGGCAGAGCTGGAAAGGTTAAGCTTAATTTGTTATAAACTGATGTTGCATGCTTAATGTGATGGCTATTCGTTTACTCTGAAACTATGGGGTATGGCAGGGACAGGAGATTACAGCTGTCTGGGTTCTTGGCAATATCCTTTGAGTAACCATTAAGAAAGGACATATCTCTGAACAAGAGTTTTACTGTATCCTTTTTGGAGGGAATTAAGTTCCAGCTGCCCGTAGCTCTGAATCTTTTTCTATACAACTATATATACTATATACTTTCTCTATATACTATATACTCTCTCATCAGGGAGACAGAACCAAGAGGTTGGAAGTTGCTTAAGTACCTGCAGTATGCTGGTAGCTTTACGAGAATACAGTGTCATCTATTTTTAGGGTCAGACATCGTCATTATCAAACGAAAAGAAAATTAAATTCTCAGAGAACAGAGTTCAGCAGTGCCCAGACAGGCAGAGAATCCAAAGCGTTCCCGGTGCGCGCTGTGGATCGTTCATACGGGCATCACCCCAACACTCGAATGCAGTCTGAAGGGTCTCAGGAGCTCTGCTCTTAAATGTGGATAAAATTCACCCCAACTCTGGTTTTCCTCCTTGATGGAGCTGACGTTTGGGCTACACGTGCTGGCACACTCGCTCCCTCCGGAGCCCTTCCTCTCGACAGGGTCCAGGGTACCTTTCTGTAGGCGATGGCACCCGAGGGCCCAGCGATGCTGGAGGGGTGAGGCTCTTGAGCCTTGAGTTTCAGTCAAGGGGCAGTAAGTGCAGTGACTTTACAGGAGCCCTTGTTTTAAGCTCTACATTGTGCTCTGAGGAAGAAATTCTTCCCTCATGGAAAACAGAAGTTGGGCACTCATAGTAAATGCCAGCCAACCTGGAGCACAGCTCGTGGATCCGCTCCCCCGCTGCATGGGCTGGAGCAGAGCCACAGCTCTATATGCTGATATTCCAACTGCTGACGTATGTACAGACAGAGACCCGTTGGTCCTGGGACTGGTTCCAAGTGCCCTGATATATCAGCTGAATCGATGTTTCCCTGAAAATGCCAAGTGCAGAGGGGTGGGGTTTCCCCCCCATAAGTTCCTACACAGTCAGAATTTCTTCTTATTTCCCTTCTGCTTAAGCAGTAAACTTTATGGAGGCTCACCCTCAATATTTTATTTTCCATCACCACATTTTGTTTCAAACATTAATTTCCAAGTCAACAGAAGGCATTTCCAAATGCCAACCCCGCGTGAAAGATTCCCGAGCTAGTGGCAGGTGGGCTGATAGAGCTGTACCAAACACATACCCACCCTCCTGCACGAGCATACCAACCCCGAGCTAAAACCCGTGGTATGCTGCCATGGCATTCTGCCCAGAAGACTTGCCCCTGCTCCTGAGCAGTGCTAATTAGTTCAGGCTGAGCATCTCTCCAGAGCAGATATGCTGCCTGCAAGGCTGGGAACTTCTGTCTTGGTCACTTACATCTGATCTACTCAAAATCTCCAGAATTCAGGAGCTGATATTTTTCTCACTTGTATCATCTTATCTTTTATCTGCTCAGTCCAAGGCCAAGAATAAAGTGCTCCCAAATGACAATTCATTGTTTTCCAGGGGAAATGTTGATTTTTTCTCTTATTTGAAACTCTCAAGGTGAAAATGTGCAATAAATGCCCATTTGTTTCTTGTCTAATCTGAATATCTTCCTTTTCACAGTTTCAGTGTTAGAAATACTATAGTTTGGTTTGGCTTGGCTTGGTCTGGTCTGGTTTGCAGCTCTCCTGCCTATCTGCTCACAAGATGACACTTTTATAAAATGGACAGGAAATATCTATAGTCTTATGTAGAAATATTTTTGGAGTTGTTTTGTGCATGCTCGGAAGCTTATTTTTTAAATCCTCTAATTAATAGGAAGGATGTATACACAGGGTTAGATTTCCTCCCAGATGTTATCCTTACCCTTCACTGCCTTTGAACAAATAATATGTAAATAAGGCTGAACTTTCTCCATATTACCATCAATAAATGGGTTCAAACCACCACACAAATCTCATAATTCACCTCTTTGGTTCTAATACTTTTAGGACAAATACAGTAGGTTTAACTTTAAGCCTCCAAAAATCTCTGCTGACAGTCGAAGGTAAAGTTCTGGTTATCCAATCCAATTAGGAATTACCGCTATGAAGTTAACATTATGGAAGCCTTAAAAGAGAAAAGAATCAGCCCGTGTAATTTTATTTAAAGGCCATCACTATGTTTATATTTAAATATCTCTTTTTTCACTTCATCACTGTGATTCAGCACACATATTGAATAAAGCTGTTATACTTGATCTACAATTAGTTGCAGAAATTGTTTTGCCTTAGTATTGATTAGAAATTCTCATTTATGAAACTGTTGGGTTTGCCTGCTCAGGGTTAACGTGTACTTGGTAACAATAAATGTGAGATGTAGCTGAAAGTGGTTTATCTATAGACATTTACCTATTTATCCAGGTGATTTGAACTCAAGAGCTTAGCTGTGGACCAAAAACTCTAAAATTTTCATCATCTTTAAGACACTATTAAACAATGACATATAATAATGTTTCTTTTCCACCAGTCACAATATTCTCCTGTACGAGGATGGTCACGCAGTTGTTGCTGATTTTGGAGGTAAGGATTTTTAGTGAAACATTTATAAATTAACCTCAAATTCAGTAAAACTAAACGTGCTTGGCTAAGAAAATACTGAGGAGGTTGCTCTTCATTTTGTTATTATGAGAGGACATAAAAGGCTTTTAGGGATAAGAATATGCATTTTTTTGGTCTCATCTAAGTTTGCAGGTGCTGTGGAATACCCAAAGTTTATCTGAGAAGGAAGGGCAGATGACAGTGAGATGGATGTGTCTCAGTTTGAGTAAGCTCCAGCAGTTCGTTAGAGGAAGAAGTTAAGTGAAAACACCTCTAATGGAATATGTGCCCTCCTCTTTCATGGCAAGCGCTCAGGATCTAAGAATGGTGTTATTGTGCAAGTCTGCCTCTTGGCAGCCAAACCCATGGCAATAAAATCATAGAATCATGGAATCTTTTGGGTTGGAAAAGACCTTTAAGTCCATTCAGTCCAACTGTTACCCCAGCACTGCCCAGCCCACCACTAACCCATGTCCTCCATGGTTCTTAACCCCCGCCCGGGATGGGGACTCCCCCCTCCCTGGGCAGCCCCTTCCAATGCCGGACAGCCCTTTCTGGGAAGACATTGTCCCTGATATCCCATCTAACCCTCTCCTGGCACAACTTGAGGCTGTTCCCTCTTGTCTCATCATTTGCCACTTGGGAGAAGGGACCAACATCCACCTCTCTGCACCCTCCTTTCAGGAGAAGGTTATAATAATTTATAATATACTAATGATATATGTTATATATAGTATACATAGAGTATATAGTATTATAACAATGTAATGTGTGAATAGCACAGGTTTCTTTCATTTTAGTTAGAAGAGCAGAATGTAGCTCATTATTTCAGTCACGGACCTTAGTAACTTTGCATTCAACATTGGACTAGTCAGTACTTTATGAATCTATATTTCGTGCACTGTCTTGGTGTTTATCAGCCAAGCGCCACGGGAGTGTGTTCTTGCTGGTGCAGGGGTGGAGTTTAGGGAGCTGGGTTTGGCCTAACTCCTTAGGAATGACTGAAGACACGGCCATCGTCACTGTGCAGTATCGCCGCAGTTAGTAACTTTGCATTCAACATTGGACTAGTCAGTACTTTATGAATCTATATTTCGTGCACTGTCTTGGTGTTTATCAGCCAAGCGCCACGGGAGTGTGTTCTTGCTGGTGCAGGGGTGGAGTTTAGGGAGCTGGGTTTGGCCTAACTCCTTAGGAATGACTGAAGACACGGCCATCGTCACTGTGCAGTATCGCCGCAGACCGGCAGAGCAGAGATGCACGAATGGCAGCTTAGCACAGGAGGGCGGTGGCAGCGCGGCCGTGTCTGTGGGGTACCCACCGGCTGGTCCCCAGCCTGCCGAGGCCAGGAGGTAGCGCACGGCTTGGACACGTGGGAGTCGCTGCTTCTCTGGGGCGTTGCTGACAACACTCATTCCTACAGGTGTATGCTTCAGTGTCTTTTCCTGACATGTCAAAGGCATCCTGCGTGGGGGCTTATTTATCACAAAATGTAGCAAATACCACCTTCACCTTCATATTCATGCAAGATCTTGTAATTTCTAGGTGGGCTGCTTTTCTGACATTAAATAGGGCTGAGAGGCTTCTGGGACTGCATGTGAATGCAGGACTCCGGGATGGTCTGTAGTAAATCTGGACACAGTTATATTAACCAGTACAACATGAGGTCAAATTCTGAGCTGGATCCTCAGCTGCTGTAAACTGCCATTCATGTCGATGCTTTGTAGACTTAGCCCAGTGCTGAGTCTGGCTTGCAGGTTTCAGAAGCCTCATGTCTGTACACATCCTTGCTGAGAAACAGCTATCACAGGTCGCCTGGGCTCTCAAAATCCCAGTTATTAAAAGAAAAAAAAAATCCAACACCCAAATGTTTTTTACCAAGACTTTTGTATAATAAGGTGGTATCTGTATTGGCTTGATGGTAATTTTTTTCTTGTGTTTTTTTTCTGTGTGTTTCAGAATCTAGATTTTTGCAATCCCTGGATGAAGACAATATGACAAAACAACCTGGGGTTTGTTCATTGTTTTGTTCCACATAACTAGTATAAAATGTACAGGCAAATTCAGTTTCGGAGAAAATGACACTGGAAAGATTTTTGTTGGAAAAGATAAACTGGTATAGTATTTTATCTCTCTTAATGTTTCTCTGTGGGTTTTGTTTCCTTTAAACATCTTTAATAGCAGAGATGAGTGAACATATAATACCTGCAACAGAAAATAATGCTTTATAGGGTTGTCTTTGGAGCTCTATTGCCCCCAGATTCCTTAGTAAAGTGTCATTCACCCTTCCCCACTCACATACACATGTTGCTGGCAGGTGGTTCCTATTTCTAACAGGGAATTAGTTATTCTACAGTGATTTTCTTTCAGAGTTCTTTTCCCCATTATAAGCCTACTGCTCACAGAGAGTCAGCTTTGCAAGAGTATTGCTCTCTTCCTAAGTTTCTGCCTAGATGCATTCTGTGCATCACTCCACGGTCATGGAAGTTTGTATCATCATAATGACTAATTGTGGAATAGTGATGCCAAACCCAGGGTTTGGCAATCATCCTTTTAACAGGTGGTGATACGCATTCGCTGTGTGAGGAGCGAGGGCTGCTGCTGCAGGCCTGGGTGTTGCTGGGGGTTTGGTGAGGTCTCACTGAGAAGGGCTGTCACGTGAAGAATGTAGATTCAGTTATGGAGGTGCAAGGAATCTGCAAAAACACCCTGAACTCATCACTCCAGTGCGAGGCCAGTCACTTGTGAAGCAGCCTCAGGATGGGGCTGCTGCAGAAAGTCCTGGGATCCCAAGAGAGAAGGCACCAACCCAATGCTGCTCTCATCAGCTTTTCCATCTACCGGCTGAAGCAGTGGTTAAGTGGTGTTTTGTGTCATGCCTAGACCTTGTGGTGTGGTCTCCAGATTTTGGGGCTGCGTGTTTTGCTTTTATTCTAGCACTACTCCCGTGTTTAAAGCCTGATCGGTCTGGCTTTATGGGGTTGAGACCCAGCTACTGTACTCTCGCTGTTACGTGTAATGAGCAATGACATGCTGCCTAGATCTTGGAAGCTAGGTGAAAATCTTTCCTTTAAAATTTACCAATGATTTTATGGAGCGATGGAGGCAACTAAATAAGCAAAAAGGGGAAAACCCCATACAAATACAGGAAAAGTTGCATATATGAGGAAGTAAACACTGTTAATGTATTGTCGCTGTTTCCTGATGCGCAGAACCTACGCTGGATGGCCCCTGAGGTGTTCACCCAGTGTACAAGGTACACCATAAAAGCGGATGTTTTCAGCTATGCCTTGTGCCTCTGGGAGCTGTTAACAGGTGAAATTCCATTTGCTCACCTGAAACCAGGTAAGATGCTCAATGAATCAGTACTTACATTCCTCTGAACTAGAGAAGTAGCTACTGTGTATAATATTAACCAGCATTTTACTGAAGTTGGTTATTAAGTGCTCGCATTCAGAGAACAGCACAGCACTACCCCACTGCAACTGCCTGCATTGCTCAGTGCTTCCAGGACGACACTTTGCACTCCCTGAGTCCAAGCAGTTGCTGCGGGAAGAGATGTGCAAAGTTTGCCAGCTGGATTTCAAAGAGATCTTTCTGATGATTGGAGAAAGTGTGGCCAATGGCAGCATTTTGACCTTGGAAAAGGTGACTTTCTCTGAGTTAATACAAATGTTTATGCCCTGGAAGAATATAAATAGCAGTAACAATGTATTTGCAGTTTTCTAAAATGCTCAGGTGTGATTCAGGTCTGTTCTCCCTAAAGTGAGCCCACCTAGCACCCAATTTCATCCCTCTCAGTGGCCTAAGTAAGTGTAATTTTCCCCCCTTCCATGGATAAGAAAACTGAGGCTTTGTACAAGGTCACAAAGGTGATCTTTCAGATGCAACAGTCATAGTTTGCAACTAGTACCTAATCTCTGTGGTACTTCAAACTGTTCTGCTTGTGAAAGACATATTTACGGACAAAAAAAGATATTGGATGTGCACATCTGATTTACATATTCTGCAGAAAGCATCTTTGAAGGTGTTCTATGGTTTATAGTCTGTATATAAGTCCCACATTTAAGATACGTGTTCAGATAATGACTATCCAGTTAAATACAAATTCCATATTTTTCTCAAAGTGTGTGAGAAATCCGGTGACGGATTTTCTATATGAAAGTCTTGTACCAGTCATGCCTTCAAAACCTTGTTAGAGTGGAATCAAAATTAGGCAAATTGTGTTTGCCCCTCCTGTCCACAAATAATGACAATATCACAGGAGTTATCTGCCATCAACATCTGAAACATCATTATGCCCACAAAAGCTGCAATGAGGAGAGACAATGGCTGAAATTAATCTATTCTTACGGTGAATACTGTGATAAGAATGGGGTGTGGTTAAAAAAAAAAAGCCTGTTCTTGTTACGATGTCATGGTTGCAATCTTACAGTTCCCTGCATACCCCATATACTCTGATCACATGGTTTTAAAGTCTCAGGCAAACCAAGGACTTCACTTTGGTTTTGATATGAGTTCAAAATACGCTTGTTTTGACTTGAAAAAATTTGGCACAAAAGGAAGGAGAGGGATTAACCCTATGGGTGTTTGGATTCACTAAACGTGTAAACCCAACTAGGAAAACATTTCAGGATTTTTGTCTCAGTCAGTAATGACTTGCACTTATGAAAAGGCACTCACTGGATTGTTACTAAAGAAACACTTAGCACTAATTTTTGTTTAGGGCTGTAGCAGAAACAGCCATGGGTTATTTTAAGAGAGCCGAATCTGTTACCAGTTCACCTGCACCATGGGTTTACCTGTCACCCTGTCTTAATAATGAAGAGAATAAAGATTTTTATAAGTGAGTTAAAAGTGAATTCATTTTTTCCCCCAAAGGCTTTTTTTTTTTTTAGGGTTTAAGCTAAATTAGGTTTTCTTCACCCATGCTCAGTCTGAAGAGTGATGTGTTTCATCAGGATTCTGGGCTGCCTTAGCCGTCTCTACCAACTATGGATTGGAAAGCCCCTTATAAGCTACCCGTCTTTATCTGCAGGTTTGATGGTCTGGCGTTTCTGTACCTGCTGGGGTGTGTTTCCTTAGTAGACAGACCATGTTTTCCTGGGAATGTGTGTGACTGCTGAGCACTAACGGGTCTCTGTCGGGCTGTTTGCTTGCAGCGGCGGCGGCGGCCGACATGGCATACCACCACATCCGCCCGCCCATCGGGTACTCCATCCCCAAGCCCATCTCCGCCCTGCTGATGAGGGGCTGGAACGCCTGTCCCGAGGTGAGTGCCCCTGCCCCGCACAGCCGGCACGGCGACAGGGACGTGGGGAGTTCTGCTTCGGCTGACCATCTGTGTGCCTTCATGGGGTTCCCCCAAAACCCTAGTTTCTGAGGCCAGTGCCCCTGCAGAAAGCCCGATGCGATGTGAATTTAAGATAGAATTTAATAGATGCAGGTAAAAAAGATTTTACACTTTCCATTAAGCAAACAGTAATAAGCCAAGTACAGAAATGTTTTAAGTACTGCAACTTGTATATTACAGACAGCAGTTGTGGTTTTGGGAGCTGTAAATGTAAATTTCTACATTAAATTCATGCTGTATGTTCCAGGTCATAAACACCACTGGCTGCTCCGGTCAGCAAACTTCTCCTGGCTTACCTTCCTCTCGCTTATATTCTGTGTTACTGTTTGGCTCTGACACAGCCAGATGTGGTTCCTGTCTGATTCTGCCCATTACCAAACCCACTGCTCAGTTCACTGAGTAAAATTACTTGAGCTGAATGACCGTCAAGATTTTCCAACACTTCAGTCAAAAACTGTTTCATGATTCTTGAGATTTCCCACCACAGTGATGCTAACAACTTTCAGGAAAGCTGGGGCAGTTTGTCCCTAGATTTGAAAGAAGAAAAAGAATGCTGTCATGATGGTTTTTCTTCCCGTTCTTTTGCCCCCGAGGGTGATGCATTAGCATATTCTGCAGATGGTGGGTACAACATAGCTTTTGCAGGGGACTTTTCAGCTTCACTTATCCTTCAAGGAATTAAAGGCACCTCATTTTCTGCCTCAAAACTACCATCTCCTAATTCTGGTAACAAAGCCTTTTCATGTTCTTCCAGTGGCATTTCAGCTTCTTCAAGTTCACTGCTTTCTTGATAAGGTCGATTGTTTTTCAAGTCTTGCAAATCCCGCGTGCCTTCTGTACACACAGCACTGTTAATCTGAGACTGGTGTCACTGCCCAGTAATATATTCCTATTTTCTGTAGGACTGAGGGTATTGGCTGTACTGGATGTAACTTGGCATTTTTTCATAGTGTTGGTATGGTTTACTCTTCACATTACCCAAAATATTTAAGGATAAGGCATTATCACCTTATCACACATTATCAGTTTAATCACAGGAGATTGCTGTGATTTTTTTTTTCCCTTCTATTTTTAACACAGCTCTGTTTTTTCTGTTGTGTTCACAGGGGAGACCCGAGTTTTCAGAAGTAGTCACAAAATTAGAAGAATGCCTGTGCAATATCGAGGTAAGGACCTTATTTCCACTGCGGAGCATCTGTGCGTGGCCGGGAGAACAGGTGGGGAGAGCAGCAGCAGCTGAGGAAAGCGGTGGCTCGAGCTGCTTCATCCCATTGCTATCCAACGCCGTATTCTTACGGCACAGGGTCAATCGTGGTTGCTAGGGCTGCCTGGAGAGGGAGCAGATATTGCTGTGCATGTCAGGAGCTGTTGGGAGAGGAACAGCGAAGGGAGAGCGTGAGCAGTGTGGTGGGAAGCGCCTCACTGGAGTCCCGGGCAGGGTTTGTTACTCCCATGGTTTATAAGGAAGAAAAGGCAAACCAGCCAGGACCCCTGGGAGAAAGGTAAAACGAGAAGACAAGAAGGAAAAATGCAAAGGCAATTCCTGCTTCGGACTGTGGCTGTGACACAGATGGATGTATCAGCCTTCACCCTGCTGTGAGACAAGCGGTGATGCAAAGTAAATGATTCAGAGCTGCAATTCATGAAATTACAACTTCTCCGTGTTTGTGTGTATGCATATGAGAGTTAAAAAACCTCCACTGCTTTTAAAACGGATCGCTGCTCTTCAGCGTAAGGATCAGAGAAGACACCCATAACCTACTACAGCTCTTCATGCTCTGGCTGCAGCTGGTTGCTCTGTGCCTAGGTGGGAGGTTTCAAGTGCGAAGAAAGAGTGAAGCACTGTATCACAAGAAACTCTGTCACCTGGGGGAGACCTGACTTGTGTGATACACAGACAGCAGGTCACGCAGGAAGAAATCCGGGGCAAGAGCTTACATCCCCAAAAGAACACCCAAAAGCATTATCTAGCTGGGGAGTCAGACGGAAGCTCCGCTGCATCCAGGGCAAAGCCTTGCTTGGGAGGAGTTTTAAGAACAAGATCTCTAGTTAAGTGCAGCTGATGAAGGATGCAGGTGGAGGCTTTTCTCCCTCTATTTCCTCTCTTTTTTTATTCTTCTCTCTCAGCAAATTTCTGCCTCTTTTAAGTAGCTCTGGATTTAAGGGAGTCAAGAGTGACAGGGACCTCTTGTGCCAGCAAGTCCATGTCCCTGCTGCTGCCGTCACCCATGTGGTGTGGTTGGTGCATGTGAATGAACGCAGATACTGATGCTGCGTGTACATTGCTCTGTCAGTCCGAACTCCTGTCCCGGGACAGCACAGCTGTGACGGGGCTGTGCGGATGCTGTTTTGGCATAGGTGGGAAAGCCTTAGCCAGTGGCTCTTGCAGGAGGCAAGGATGTCTCCCAGCAGCACAACAGACGCTCGCAAGCCAAATAACTGACAGCATATCCTCTGGAAAGGTGTCCGTCCCCAGCTTGGAAACCCCAGGGGATGATGACCTGACAGCATTATTCCGCAGGCAGCATCCAGTTCTCAGCTGATCAAAGTCAGGAGGCGCTGCTTTTTTCAGCCAAGCTATAAAGAAAATGTGGGACACACAGCTTACAAGGAAAAGCCGAGGAAAGACTTGTCAATGTGTAATAACAATGCCTTCTTTTTTTCTTTTTAATGCAGTTGATGTCTCCAGCCTCCAGCAACAGCAGCGGTTCTCTGTCTCCCTCTTCATCCTCAGACTGCCTCGTGGCACGAGGAGGCCCCGGCCGTAGTCACGTTGCAGCGCTACGGAGCCGGTTTGAATTGGAATATGCCTTGAACGCACGAGCTTACGCAGTCTGGTCGCAGAGGTGCGTACCTCATCGCAGGGCTGAGGAGAGCGCTGATGCTGGAAGGGGTGGACAGGGTCCTCCCCACGACTGTGGACCCACGTGCTGAGTACGGGGGTTCCTTGCAGCAAGAACTGTGCCAGCTGAGGGTTGTGGCTCCATGGGAAACCAGCCATAGGAACACACCCCGAGGCTGACCCACTGCATCCAAGGGGATGGGGGCAAGTGGTCATTAGGTGGATGTACCTTCACTACCTGCCAGCAGGTCTGGGAAGGCCAGTGTCTACATCAGAATGTGGTTTCAATTTGAAACATTTCACCAAAGAAAAGCTAAAAGACACCTTCTTCTTCGGGAAAAAAAAAAAATCCCAGTGTGTGACACCAGTGACAAGGTGGGAAGCCCAGCATTTCACTACCAATGATGTGGCTGGAGGCATCAGGTGGCACAGAGTCTTATGAGCTTCCTGCACAGCGCAGGCCCCACTCACAGTCCAGGGAACTGCTCCTGCAGGTATTTCCGTGGGAAGAACCTTCAGCACCACTCAGCAGCCAGGCAAGCCCTGACCCCGGGTACCGGGGTGTGGGGAGTCAGAAGTACCGACAGCTGGAGCAGGAACAGAGGAGCAATGTGAATCAGTCCTTTGGCTGTTCAGGGCTTGAAGGAGAGCCAGAAGGCAGGCAGACACTGACATGAACTTCTAAGAACTGAACTGAGGGCTAACTGAGAACAGTTTGGGCTCTTTGATTTCGTGTGTGTTTGGCAAAGCACAGTGCTGTATGAGACAGCTCCTGAGGGTGAGGGATGAACAACCTGTGGGCAGGAGAGTGTTTTGGTCAATGACCAGAAGATAATTCAGCAATCTTCCTTGCCAGAGAAACTTATTTACAGGAATCTGTTAGCAATGATGCATAAAATACAATGATCCTGGATTGATGCCTAGAATTGCTTCTAAAATAGCAGTATTCAAACAAGTTTGAAGCCCCCAACAGTGTATTTGAGGGGAGTTACTTTGGGAATGGATGAAATGGGAGCATGTGTGTGATTCATGCTCATGCTTTATAACTGCTTTTTGTCTACTGCAGATGCCAGAGGCTGGGCATCAGGCTGATGTATTTCATGCTACTCTCTTTTCCTTCCAACTCTGCAGAAAAAGTTTTCATGGGATGGAGCTGTTACTTCATCAGTCTTACCAAAACTGACACCTCCTCTCTAATTTGCAGCACTGGGCAACACCCTTCTCAGGGTCTGTCGTTGGATGACATGAGAAGAAACTTCCAGTACCCACCAATTGACAAAAATGGTGAGTTAATGCAGAATACTCCTTGGTGTGGTTAACCCCTGCGGAGCGACAGGCTCCTGAGGTACCAGTCCCACGAGAAAACCAATGCACAGGGGAGGCTGCTGCTTTGGATCAGCAGAGCTGGCGAGGTCTCGTGGCTGCTTTCACTGCCTGTGCGCCCCAAGCGCTTCGGAGCTGGGATGGTCCTTTCTGTCCACGTGCATGGATCTGAGAATAAGAAGATGTGGCGTTACATCCTCAAGGCTGCTTCTTCAAAAAGTGGGCAAGACAGTCCTATTTCTGCAGCACCACAGGAGCATAAAATGACACAAGACTTTTTTTTCACTATCTGTGCTCCCCTCTCAGAGGGCATCCCACCCCTCTGCTCCTCTCTGATACCCTGACCTTCTCCCTCTGGCCTCCCTGGCTTTCTGTCCTACCTCAGCCGAGTGTGTGTTCATGCACGGCCACACAAACAGCTTTCCAGCAGGTCCTAGCCCCTGTGTTTGCAATCTGCCCCAGTAAACCACTCTTGCTAAGCAGCCTTTGCTCAGGTCTTGTCTTGCAGGCAGCTCCTTGGGACCCTGTTTCTTGCTCACCCTTTCCAAACAGCTCACGAACTCACTGCCTGGTTCTTGATGGTTTCCCAAGCATGGTTAGCAGCTCAGAGCAGTTTTTAGCCCAGCAGCATAACGTATAAGTAAAACCTTAAAATAGAGTGTATGACAATGTAGTTGGCATTAGGGTGGTATCCAGCAGACCGGATTCAGACATCTTGGCTCAATCCCTCTTTCTTGGTGTGGATCTGAAGGTCAGACTCTTAACCCCACCTCTGCTCTCCGTTCACACCAGGTTCGGCTGCGGTGTCCTAGAAAGACCGGACGGTGTGTGAAGCCGCCGTCAGTATAGAATCACAGAATGGTTTGGGGGACTTTAAAGATCACCTAGTTCCAAGCCCCTGCCATGGGCAGGGACACCTTCCACCAGAGATCTCAGACAGCCGAAAGGCGTCAGCATGGCCTGTGCCCACTGACTTCAGAATGATGAGCACATTACTTTGCTGACATTGTCGCTGCAGGGAAAGGTGGGGGACAACCGCCACTGTGTAGAGCCACTCGTAAGCTCTCTCTACATCTTGCAGGCTATGTGTCGGATCCCATGAGTACCATGCGGTTCCACTCCTGCAGCAGCAGCGGCAGCTTTGAAGAAAGCAGCTGACAGCGGGACCCGTCCGGCCGCAGCGAAACTCGCCATCAGCCCCAGTTCTCGCCGTAGCAGCCTATTGCCCAGGCAACGTGTGTTCCACTGAAGATCCCTAAACCGAAGAGCTTTATCGGCTGATGGCAACTGGCCCTGTCACCAGTTCTGCTCTAGCATCTTTCGCTGCTGACCTGCTTGAGGGCTGCGTTTTCTGGGTGGTGCGCATCTGCGCTTTAACGAAGTGGATGTCCACAAGGAATGCTGCACTTTCATCTTCAGCATTAATAATTTTAAGAGATAAAAGTAAAAATGCGTTTGTTGGAGTTACAGAGCTGCAAGGCAAGTTGTTGTTGCCGCACTACAGCATGGGGCTATCAGCCCCTTCCAGTCAGGGAGCTGCCAGCCCCGTCCCTGTCCAGCCTGTCACTCCCTACCAGCATCCAGGCCACCGTGGAGGCAAAGTTGTTCCCGCTCCCAGCTTCTGAACCAGATCCTGTTTCTGAGTTCTCTGCAGCCCCAGACACATCCCGTCATCTCCATCACCATGTGCAGGTCCCCAGCACAGCAGTCCCACGGCTGCAGCTCTTCAGAGCCCTGATCTTTGGATGCTTTGCTGGTCGCTGAGAATAAAGAGATATTTGGGTGGCAATCTTAATTGCACTCTCCCAGACATCTGTGTTTTCTTAGCCACTTGCTTGTTTTGGTTTGAGTGATTGTTTTTCCCAAAAAGCGTAAGCTTTCACTTAGACATTTGCTTACAAAAAGCAACACTGGTACTCCACAACAAACTTTAAACCAAAAGGAAAATATGCAAAATCGTGTCACAAATATGATAAACAGTGCAAAGCTGCATTTTGAGCTCAAGGCAAAACTGCAGCGGAGTGCCAGCTAGTGCGTGCTGAGCTGGAGGAGCGAGTGCCATGGCTGGGCTTTGCAACAGCACCTCTGACATCTGGGAATTCAGAGAAAAAAAGGAGAACCCTTCCTCTAGAAGCAATTACAGAGGTCATTCTGCTTTTATTTTCTGGGGTCTTTTTTTAAATTAGCAAAATTTAGCTGCAAGTGATCCTGCTGTAGGATTCCTTAACAGGATTAAAGACACAAGTGACTTACTGGCTGCGTAGCAATCAGCGTTCCTGCTTGCTGTGTGTGGCTCTGTGGGTATCATTCAGGATGCTGGTTTCTGCCGACTGATCCCTGAACCAAGGTCCGCGGTGAGGCATTGTGCAGGGCGACGCACGCGAACCACAAATGCGCAGTAGGCTCTGCCGGCTCACGTCTTCACGCACGTCATTAATTTCACAATCCTGAAGCAATAAAAATGGGGAAGATTTCACTTTGCAAGGTTTAGAAGTGGTGTTTGTCGTTTGTTTTGTTTTACCTTCTGGAAACCTCCACGGGGGTGAAGGGGAGATAAGGCGACGCAGATGTGCTGTCAGCCCCGGTGCTGCCCAGGGTCTCGCTCTGCTCAGGCTCCTGTTTCAGTTGCACGCTCGTTTACACCAACAGCCCGCCGGGCTCACGTAAACGAGAGGAGTACGCAGGAAGGTCTGGGCCGCAGCTCACGAGGGGACTCATCAGACCCTGTAGGAAACCCCCCAACCTCCGTAAGAAGTACAGGCGAGAAAACCATCCCATCTCCGCGGGATGCAGCCGGAGGGCCTGACGGCTGTTGGCACCAGCTCCTCCCTGCCATCACCAGCCTCTCTGCTCTCGCTGCTCACGCAGAGCCACCTCTTCCAGCCTACTCAGAAACACACGGGCACATACAGTTTCACACGAAGGCTCTGCTTCGGCTCTTCCCCTCTGAGCGGTTTTTGCACTGTAGGAGACGCTAACAGGGCAGAAAGCTCAACTGTCGCAGTTGAAAAATCAGTTCCAGCATTAAGTTTCCTTCAGGAATGGTTTTTTTTTTTTCCAAATGCCTCTGCACTCTTTCTTTTTCCCTCGCTTAACACAACCATGCGATGACTCTTCATCAATACAGCAGCTGCCCCTGGAAACCAGAACCAAAACCGGATTAGAGAACCGAGCAAGGCAAGTAGGCGTCACGCGCATCAATACCTCTGTGCACGCGCTCCTAGCTGGGCTGCTTGGTACGA